CTCCGAAGTCAACTTCGGAGGCGCAATCAGATCAAGTGTATAAGCGCCTACAATTGATCCGTTATTGACTAGGACATTTAATGTCTCTGTCATTTCCTGGGGACTTATTCCCTCAGGCTTCGAAGGACTAATTCCTTCGGCTTCCCGGGGACTTATTCCCGCGGGTTTCGGGGGAACTTATTTCCGCCGTATTTGTAATCTTGGGACTTATTCCCTTTACTTCCTCTCGCTGGGGTTGCGCAACCACAGCGAGATCCTCTACGAAAGACTCTCCAGTCGATCTAGGATTATCATTTTGCTTAACCTGAGCGATCGATTGTTTCTCTTCTAGATGTTCCCCGCTGGGGATACATCTTTGTCCCGGTCCACTCGACTTATTCGAGTGGTGGACCTTGGCGCAGCCTGTGCTTCCACACAGCCGCCGGAACTTTTCTCCGAAGTGTAACTTTTTGTTACACTAAGATTTTGTGCAGTCGTACAAACGACCGTACCACAAGTGAGGCCATCGCACTCACTCGTAGTACATCCACACGCTTGTGGACGCTCCAAAACGTTCATCAGGTGGCCATCTGATGAACAAGTGGCAGGCATCGTTACTGTTCGATGTTGCCAGTTTACCCGTGGTTCGTACCTTCTGAGCCACGGTATTCCAAGTATGACATCAAATTTGTCATCCAAATCCAAGACGATAAAGTCATCGTCATATTGGGTATCTTCTAGCGTATAGTGGATCTTCACTATACGCTTCATGACGGTTACGGATGCGCCTGTCGCAAGACGTACCGTCATCCTCGTAGGAGGTGTGTCACACTCACTGAATTTAAAGTGACCATTTTCTAGCGATTGGCGTCGCACAAAATTGTTGGACGCCCCACAATCGACTAGAGCTCGAAGGGACAACTTATTCGTCACTTCGAGTTTCAAGGTAATGAGTGAGACCTCATTACCTAGAGCAGCAAGCACAACGTTTGTGTGTTGGGAGCAACCTTCATCAAGAGGCCTACAAATTCTCTTGACGTTGCTGGATCAGTAGGTGTGGGAGCACCTACTGATCCTGTCCGTTTTTTGACGGTCCATCCCGTTGTTGCGTCTTTGCACCAACTGCGGACCCTCGTCCCTGCCCCTTTCTCATGGGTGGACGGTCACTACGCCCAGTGTCGCGAGACACTGGACGAGGGGCACTACACTCGTAAGCGTAGTGTCCTGTCTTTTGACATCTGTTGCATCTCTACAACTTCTTGTAGCCTGTAGAGCGAGCCTTCTCGCTCTCTACGTAACATAGTTCCATCGGCTCTGGACCTCCGTTGTCATATCGTCTCGGTTGACGATATGATGTCGAGCTGGCGCGAGCCTGTCTCAGACTGAAGTCTTCCTGCTCCGCAATGGAAATGGCTTGTTCTAGTGAATCTAGTTCAAGCCGGAACAGGTGAGTCTTGACGGGACCATCCGCAAGACCCTGCATGAACACCGAAACCAACGTGTGTTCATCCACCGGATTGGAACTTGTACAACTCGTGAGATGTCGTATATGTTGCGCGTAAGCGTGCACATCACGCTTACCCTGCTTGAGCTTCAAGAGTTCGGTTCGAGCTCTGAACTCAGCTCTAGGCGGTTCAAACGTTTGTCTGAGCAGCGACTTGAAGACTTCCAACGACCCAAACGCATATGGGTCGTGCAACTTTAGCTCCAAAGACCAAGTCTTGGCACGTCCTGCCAGATTTGACAGGGCAAATGCAACTTGCATATCCCCGTCGTCGATGCGACGCGTCCTTATGGCGTCATCCAATTCGACGAACCATCTCAAGAGGTAGTCCTCTTCGACTCCCCTATACTTGGAGATGTCAATCTTCAAGGTTTCGGGTCGACGCGAGTGCATCGACCCACCAGCAGCAGCCTGCTGCTGTCTCAACAGTTCAAACTGTTGAGCACCCTGTTCTCTCAACAACTCTGCTTGTTGAGCACCTTGTTGGTGAAGCAAGGCTACTTTCTCGCGTTCAGCGTCAAGTTCATTTTGATTGAACTTGGCGATAGTAGCATGTTGGGCATCTCTATTGAGAGCCTCTAGCATGACGCTAACAGCATGGATGCCCATGATCGAACCCATTCGTTCAACCGCATCCCATTCGACATCGCTCAAATGGGAGTAGCCGTCACGCGTAGCGTGAAAGCTTCGGTCATCTTCATCATCTAACATATTCATGTTGGATGTGAACGTGGTTCTTGGACGGACTACGAAGTGCTACCAGGTGTAACGGGGCACCCTAAAGCTTGTACTGGTGACAGTACAAGCTACTTATTCTGATGACAGAATAAGGCGGTGCCTCGGAACTTCACGTACACTGGTACGTGCAGAGGAAGACGGTAAGAAGAAGCGAGTACTTGGTTAAAGTAAAAAGTAGAACTGTATTTATAATAGTTAATGTCTGCAATAAATCACTATTTATCTTCATCTAACTATGTCTAAATACAAATGTGTAAATCAGTTATCTGCTCACCACTCATTGCGTGCGTCTGTCGTGGCGCGTCGTCGTTGGTTGATATTATGGCCTATATCAACCAATTAGGAACTACTCGTAAGTGCTACAGAAAATTCATCTTTATGACAATATTCTGAGAATATAACTCTTATAGTTATATTCTATTAACAATTTCTTATAAATTGTTATGTAACGATTCACCCCGTTACAATCGGAGTTAGCGTGAGCCCTTTGGTGTAAAATTTTCCCGGAGAACTAGTCCACCTGCGGGGCGTAATCGCGAAGCCACGGGAGCCCTAAAATGACGTCCTGATCAGCATCTAAGGGACTCTCCGTAAAAATCATGTGGGCTAATTCTATGTCACTCATCCGAACAGTTGCTTCAACTGTCGACAACTCGGCTGTCGTAGTTAAAGAGCCATCGAACCTCTTCAGCTGTCCCCGATGTTTACTGATGACTCGTGACGGAAGGCCTGGACATTACGTTGGTCGAAGCTCTACAATCCTATAAGATTGTCACTTGCACACCATCAACTATACCCGGTTTACGCAGCAAAGTAGACTGTTGATCGACCACGTGTACTTCAACAGCGCTGATAGTGTATTGATCGAACACAATCCCACTTTCATCTTCTTCTTTCTTCTCTTGCACACTATCAATCATGCCGATTCTCCCATTCGGTCGCGATGAGCTCTGTTTTTGTGGCCTCGTCGAACATTCTGCGAGTCAACGTCCTGGCTGTTTACAGTAGAAGCACAATTTGCGCTGCAAGCATTCTCCCCTAGACACCACTTGCACATGTTCAATTTCCGTAGGCTCTGGTCGGGCATCTTCAAAGCGTGGACGCGGCCTTTTTTCTTGTCTACGAAACGGCTGCGCGCGTCTGGCGGTCCCGACGCCAAAATGCGATCGCTCGAAGTCATAAGCAACTTTGGTCGCTTGGCTTAAAGATGAGCACCGTCGATACTCGACTTCGGCGCGAGTTTGATTTTTTAATCCCTGAGTGAAATAGAAAATGGAGTCTACATCACTCATTATTTCGGACCTAAATTATCAGATGTCGGAAGCGAATTACGAAATCCCCAACGTCCCAGCATTGAACCTGATCCAGGTTTCGAAGCTGGTCATGGAGACATATCTGAAGGTTTGCTGGTACGAACTCTTGCTCCAGATGAAAAAAGAGCCTATCTATAGTCGTGATCCTGCTGCTTGACTAAACAAACCATTCCGCTGCAGAGCCTACGAGCATGCTTCCAATGGTTGGAATGATTGTAGCTGCCATCGTCGCGCACTTCCAATTGACATGCCTCACGGTAAATTACTGCTGTGCTTGTTCTTTAAAAAGCGCAAACAGTTTTTGTACTTGCCCTCCATACCGGGGAGCTTTTACTGCGTCCAAACTTAAGTCCTTAAGTGTTGTAGCTTCAGCCATCTTATCGTCATTTCTTGTTGCTGAGACAACATCGCCAACATGCTTTGCATGAGCTCAGCATTTGACGGCCCGCTCATGGCGTCCGCAAACTTCGCAAAGCTTTTTTGCAGTCAGATCGGGGTCGGGTCGGGTTCAGGGTATGTGTGTGGGTATTCAGACCAACCAGTGCTACCTGATGTGGTGCCTGGGATGTAAGGCCTTGATGGAAAATACAAAAGTGATTGCATTAGGTCCTTAGTTCACATACAAGCTGCTACGCTAAGCCTTATAGATTCCATGGGTAATTCTTTCTCAATTTCAACTGGGACAAAACTCGATGGATTGCACAACGTGCTCTTGTACGGTCGGTCCGCAACCATTCTGGAGCGGGATTGTACAACGTGCGCGACGAAGTCAACCGCAATCATTCTGGAGCGGGATTGCACACCGTGTGCGTAAACGACGTCGAAAGCCATTCTGAAACGAGCGCCTTTGGTACAAGCGGTCCGGGGTTAAGGTCGACCCTGCAAAAGAGTCTGAAGGAGTTTAGGAATTGAGCGAATCTTTGACACAGGGATTCGACCAAATGGCCGCGACTGAGCCAAGGCCTCCCAGGCAACCACACTGTAGGTGCTGGAGTCATCTTCGGGATTTCCGGTACAGTCGGTGAAGAGATGCCACTTTCTTCTGGCTTGAGTCGATGAAGTCGTAGTGCTCGACAAATTGGGCTTATTAGACTTGCAAATTTGTTGATTTTTGTAGATTCCTCGCCTCAGTCGCTTGCTAGAGACGGGTAGAAAGGTTGGCTTCCATCGAAAGGTTACTTCGAGGAGCCGGTGTATTTGGCCGACCCCACAGAGGGATCAGCAGCGATGGATGCAATTATTAAGAAAAGAACCGGGACAGGAGAGCAGAAGAAAAGTCAGCCTCATCCAACTCCACCGCAGCGAGATATAATGACTTCGACAACTGTCGACCTTTCACTGAAATTTATTGACCGATGCCTCGTGTTGAAGAGCTTCACGAAGCTTAACCACGAGACTAAAGATGCCACGTAACTAGATTTTGAGACGCTCACATCCGAACATCCAACAGAAGGCGGAAGGAGAGACTAAGAGTACTTATCCTTCGCAATCCCCGACACGGGGGCCTGCACAGGCATGCTAGATTGCAGATTGCAGAGATGTTGGCAAATACCGTCGACGGGGTCAGTCAGCGCAGATGCAAATACTGAGAAGTCTGCCAGCGTAGCGGAGGCATCGTTAAATGACTTAGCTGGAGCAGAAGTGGCATCAGGAACTTGCACTGGCATTGTGGAGGTGCCGTCGACCGAGTCATTTTTTTTAAAGGTAGAGAGACAGCAGTGGTGTCGAACAGAGTGGAAGACGGGTCATAGACTGAATCAGTAAACGTATCAGGTGCAATAGGGGTGCAGGCCGGCACAGCAGGCGAATCTGTGACCGGTGTGACCGCAGTCGGAGTATCCAGAGGTATATCAGACTCGGAAGAAGATATTGCTGGAACAAAGAAATGAGACGAAGACCCCCCCCCCGATTCCACGCAAGTAGAAGAGAGCATGGAATTTACGTGGGGAAGGAATGCGCGAGAACCACACACTGTACATTTATTCAACAGCATGGGGAGGCTGTGTTAGAGTGCTTTTCAAACGCCATAAACATAGGTTCCTGCGAATTGAAGATACCGGAGAGAGGGAAACACGGATAGAACACGGCTTTGGAACGAGCAAATTTTCGAGACCATCGGCCGGCGATCGTACCGGAGTAATGGTTAAACGGTACTAAAAGAGACCTACTACGATCATAAATTCGAAGGTCGGTCTTTGCGTGTAGACCTGAATTCCCCAGAGTAGACCGCGTCCTTTAATCGATGGGCCTAGTTGATAATCTTTAGACGTGGCTTCTCGTATTTAGTCCTCGCTTTTTCAAAAACAAACTACTCCTGATCATTAAAAAAAGGAAAACCTTCGTAGGCAAGGACGAGAGGGCTAAAGGATAGAAAGATATCAAATGCTGCTCAATTTGCAATCCGCGGGGTTAAAGGACAGAACGCCATAATAAACTACTCAAATTTGATCCATGTGGCACCACTTTATCGTGCGTTAAGGAACTTAGTAAGTCTTCCCGCCTGTTCCGGGGAAGGGATAAACTTGGCCCCTGTTAGAGACATTTCCGTAGTAAGAATTAATTGCGATTAGTACCCAGAAAGTATTTGACTAGTGGGTTCGTATCGAGTAGCACACAAAGCCCGAAAGCGTACTCTCCACCTAGAGGTTTGGGAGCAAAGTGAAGGCCATGCGAAATATTCTAAGCCAATCAAAGAAAGGCCAAAGGCAACAAGCTACCTGAATTACTAGGATATAGGTCTACTCTCAATTATGTCGATCGAGTGACCACCTACTTGGCCCACCGAGTGAAGCACATCCACTTGGGGCTCTCAAGGTTGACATCTGTCAAGACCTACATCTTCATCCTCACCCCAAGTCTTCCGAGTGGTGAGATCCACCATTCTACCCGTAAACAAGGTGATGGAAACCATGCTTAGCGTTGGGATACACCCTCGTAAGCCGGCAGTCCGGCACCGTGAGTGGTTTGAGGTGTTATCACGCCAAATGTGACGACCACTCCACCACATGGGCTAGATTATGCCTGTTGTTAAACTCGAGAGGCATAGCTTTAAAGATTTTGACTGGGTTCGTCATGATGTTGTAAAGTCTCGAATTGGGTTACACAGCTACCAGCAAATGGAAGAGTCTCGTCGACGACGATCTGGTCGACCCCAGATAAAGGGACCGTTTTGAGACTTCGCAGACTGCACCGTTTCAAAGACTTGTCTAAGTGACGAGCCCGTGGGCCTCAGCCAAGGGAATTGTAAATTTTATAGTGAGGCTTACATTGCGCTCAATGACTTGTAAAATAGCTCGGCGTCCACCCTTTGGTGTGAGATCAATGGAGTGTGAGGGTTAAAAGTTGCTGAGCTTAGGCAGACTTCTGCATACAATCTGTACAAAGTGTTTTATACATTCTATAAATGTTGATTAAGAAATGTAACACACCAAATACGCTTCAAGAGGATTACATGAAAATGTTCTATTTATAATAAGTATTTAAAATAGTTAATTACAATTTTAATACAATTTCAGTATGAGATATTTGACTAGAAATTGTCCAGCTAAACCTGATGATAAAAGGACAGCTAGTTTTCAAAAGAAAAATTCAGTAAAGGTCTAAAAGAAGTACTTCTGATTATCAGAATAATTCGTACATGGAATTGTTTACAAATAATAATAAGAGCCAAACATTCCTCTAACACCACCAATTTTTAATCAGGATTGATTTAAAAAGAGCATAAAAGGTAAGAAATGCTTTTTTAGTAATCGATATCGAGAAACAAATTAGGCAAATGCCACAACTAAATCCGAATGGGCGAACCGCAAAGGGATTCTATCCTTATGATCCTAGCCCATTAGCGACGACATGACCCGACGGTTGATGTGTTTTTGCGTTGAGGCTGTACTGATACAAATTTTACTAGCATATATACCACAAATATCAATGTACACGGCAAATGGGACGTACAATCGATAGAATAGGGGCGAAAAGGACTGATTCCTATTGGACAAGGCACCAAAGGTCGGAATAATATACCGACTGGTATGTGGACGATCTTTCTCGTTTCTTCTGATGTGACACAATGTCAGATTGATTTACAAATGCAAATATGGGACTAGGTAACTAAATCTGGGACCATGTGAATCCGAACAGTTAATCTCTGACCAAGAAATTTGTTTACAGACAGCGTGAGATATGGTTCGCAAGTGGCGACGAAATAAAATTGTCCCACAACACACCCACCAATGTACTAAAGGGACACTTGAGATAAGGATGTGGATTCGTGGTAGGACATCTGTTGAAGATTTAGATGATAACTAACAAGGATAGATGGATTAAATGAGAGCGGTTGTGAAGGGCAGATGAGATTTCCCCGAAAGCTAAGATTGAAATAGACGGTGAAGAGTATTTGAATTGTGCCGCAAAGTTGATTTACACCTATTTGGCTCCACATTTGACTAGTAAGAGTATGGATATAGTCACGATATTCAGATATGGTAAGATCTAAATATTGCGATTGGAGAGCATAACATTGCGATTGTTAACGTGACGATAGTGATACAGGCTGGGATATTTGAAGCGTGCGTAAGAAGCCGATCCAGCTTGAAAGTTATATCGGTATCGGGGATGCCCTATGGTGTATTAACAGTATAGCTCGTAATGAAGTTGGCTGATAAACAAAATAAAATTCTACTTTTACTTAAGACACGCGTCCCACATCCATAGGAAAAGTTTGCTTAGTTTTTTTAAAAAATGAAGGCACAAGTGCTTCAAGGCTCAGAAGATCGATAACAGATTGGCCAATGTCGCGAACACCAATTGAGGGAGATTTGGCATGGGGATCGGTGCAATTTAAAAGGCAGATCGTTTAACCGACCGAATCGCACTTTACACTTCTAATGAGATTGGACCATCCCAAGAAAAAGATCAGAGAGAATTACAAGCGGTACTGACGCATGAACACCGGATTTGTGTGTGAAAATTACCGCACATGGATAAAACATCTATCTCAAGTTCCGAATGAGGTAGGCATCTACCAAGGCCGTAACGAATACCTAAGACAGACCGATCAACAGGTACACAATGTGTGCACAAGGCTTAGCAGCAAGGCAGGACCGGAGTACCCTCTCTGCAAGTGAGAAAGTCAGGGCAAGTGGAATATCGAAACTCACATAAGCAATTTGTAAAGCTGACTTCACCACCTCAACATCAAACTAGTACTTTTAACATACAATAGTCCTTCGACAATGACATGTTTAACAGAACACACATCCATTCCTCACCCGCTAGTAGAATTTCAAGTAGTAAGTACAGCAAAACATATATGGCACCGACTAGAGATCAGTATAAATGTCGCTCAAAGTTATACGCAAAATAAAACTCACAGAACTTGGTGTAACGTTAGTGTGAGTCCATGTCCGGCCGAACATGGCTTGTAAAAGATTTAGTCACATTAATTATTGTACAAATTTAGATTCTTACTTGTATCAATATGAATTTCGTCGAGGTCTACGTAATTGCGAGCCCGAGGGGTGAAGCTATCAGCGACTGTGCGCAAGGTGAATGCCGAACCTTTTATATCGTACTTATCGGTATCTGTGTGTGTGCTCGTGTGTCTGTAAACGACGCTTTGAACCTTACATGTCGTATTAAGCGCAATGTGGCCTGTCAACTCCTCGTACATATATAGGCATATTCGAAGTTAAACTTATCTAGTTCACTATTGTGACGCACGTCCGTGATTAGCTTGAAATTTATCAAGGCGAATAAAAACACCATGTCGAATGCTGTACGCTCATAAGCAAAGGCTGGTCGCGTAGAGAGTATACTGTACTGGGCTAATAACGACATTAACATCATCATACTCATTCTTCAGTGACAGCTGTTGTATAGTGCTTTGCGTCTTGTTTTAGTTCTCCACAATGGATTACATACACATGCAAAGGGTGATCTTCAGAGCTCGCATGCTACAGGGCTGCAATGAATTCGTCAAAAGTTGACTTCATATTGAGAGATATTGAATGAGAACCATTTGAGCTCATACAGGTAATGCAAAGGGCACCGGAGCAGCACACTGGACAACCAGTGTGGAGCTTCTCTCATTGACAGCAGTGTGAGTGGTGCTTCGCAACCTGTGTAAACTACGCAGAGAAAGGAAAAGCAACTAGGAAACTGACTAGTTGATGGTAAAGTAAATCTGTACATATAATCAAGTCCTAATCTCTAACCTAGTCCTAAGTTAAATACATTTAGCTACAAAATGTATGCTAAAGTCTTGCTCACCACTCTGCGCGCATCCATCGTTGATTAGATCGCTGGAGCTGTCTGACATGATAACCCGTATCAGTCAATTGGTAAGCTTTTCCGCAAATTACTCCTTATAGATATTTAAACGAACATGATCAACCTTTTTGGTAATGTTCTAGTCAACAAGTATCGAAGGTTAGTTTCGTGTAACATGCATATCTCGTTACATAACCTCCCCGCTTACATGATAGTTACTCAATCACCATCATGTTAATGTGGTCACCGCTAGACCACATCAGGGCAGGAGGGCACTTATTTTGGTTTAATTATCCCATTTCTGGGTCTTCATAGCAAACCCATGCAATGCGCAGCAAATTCTGCTGAGAATGCAGATGAGTTTTAAAGCAGCTGCTCTTGATGATGCTTAGCTTTCACG